AGCGCATTTGCCCTATAAAAAAAAACACCCAAAAAAAAAAAAAAAAAAAAAAGAGAAAAGAAAAAAACTCTCCCCCCAAAAAAGAAATTTAAATCTTAATTTGGAAATTGGAATTTTCCAAATCTCAAAGTGGTGTTGTCCTTAAACCTTTGGAATACATTGGGTATTGTTTTTGCTGAGTTATCTTAAGTGCCATGATTATGACTTCTAGAAGCATCTTTGGCTGCATCTCTCTTGAGGCCTTTTCTGGAAACTTCTCCTTGAAGATGAAGATGGCCTCACACTGATATTGTTGGTCTCTGGCAGTGTTGAAGAAGCAGCAGCTCAGAAGAATTTTTCAATGATGAAAATTCGGGAGCTGGAGTTTCAGATTTCCAAACTCCGGGAAGACCTGGAGTCTGAGCGTGCTTCCAGGAATAAAGCTGAGAAGCAGAAATGGGACCTTGGGGAAGAGCTGGAAGCACTGAAAACAGAGCTGGAGGACACTCTGTATTCCACAGCTGCCCAGCAAGAGCTCAGGTGTGCACGGGGCTCGCTGACTGTTTCATAAATGGTCGGGGGTGGGGGCACCGAAGGGGAGGCCTTGGCTTCTGAGGAATGAACCCTGGGCCCCTTGACACACACAGTGGTCCTGTTACTTACCAGAAAGCGTGAGGGTTCCTTAGTAGTTTCTGTCTACCAAGTAGAAGGCCTGCTGGAGGACTCGGCTCAGAGTTTGGAATTGCAGGGGTGGGCTTTAGAGCTGAAAGGGTACAGAGGCCTCTCCACAGTGTCTGCAAGTGTGGGCCACAGGACTGATAGCCAAGGAGGGAAGCCCCTGATTTGGAAGCCTGCTTAGGGCCACCTAGGGCCTTGCCAGGCCTCTCTGCAGCCATGGAAGGGCCCGATGGCAGCATCGTCCAGGTCCTTGGCCTCTGCTCTAATGGCCCTTGTCTACCCAGGTCCAAGCACGAACAGGAAGTGAACATCCTGAAGAAGAACCTAGAGGAGGAGGCCAAGACTCATGAGGCCCAGATCCAGAAGATGAGGCAGAAGCACTCGCAGGCTGTAGAGGAGCTGGCAGAGCAGCTGGAGCAGATGAAGCAGGTGTGGAGGGTCCCCTGCACCTGCCAGGTTGGAGGGCTGTCAGGAGGGACCTCCAGGCCAGCCGTGCACTGGGCCTCGCAGTCTCTTACCCAGCCCATAAAGCAGAGCATTTCCAGTGTCAGGCTGCCCAGGCTGAGTCCAGCCCTAGCCCTCAGCTGATAGAGTCTCCGTGCCTCAGTTTCCCTGTCTGTGAAGGAGGATAATGATGACGTCATCTGATTATGTGAGGTTTGAACTGGCGATACACGTCAAGCACTCAGAAAGTTCTTGTTAAAGTTGCGCTCTTGCCGTTATTCTATTCAGCATCCTGCCAGGCCAGAGAGTTTCAGGGAATTGGAGCCACCCTGAAACTCAGGACTCTGGTGGTCCCTTTACTGACTACGGGACCCTCTCTAGAACCCCATACAGTGGTCAGCTGGGGTCTTACTGAGAAAATTCTTGTGATGCGCATCCTGGCTTCTTTCTTGGTCAGGCAGCTGAGGGCCGGGCAGTTCCTAAGCAGGACAAGTTGTACCCCCTGTGGCTTTTTGCTCAGGAACACTTGGTGGCGACTGGACACGTGGCCACCTACAAAGTGTCCTTGGAAACATCCTTGCCCATTTGTGTGCCGTCAACTTCCACCTGGAGCCGTGCAGGTTGAAGCCTTCTCTTGTCCAGTGACCCTTGAACTCGCTGATGACCCTGCCACCTGCTTGGTGTAGACTAGAATGGGATTGTCACGGTCATTTCACAAACTTCATATATATATATATATATATATTAATTTGATCAGAGAGTGAGTGAGTGAGAGAGAGAGAGAGACAGAAAGAAAGCAAAGCCTCCACGTCCAGGATTCAAACTGTGGTTGACCATGTGCGAATCCATTACCTTCAACCACAATGCCACGTGCTGGCCCCTGAACATCAGCACTTTTTTAAGAGTTATTTTAATTTTATTTATTGATTTATTTCAATTCAACCTGAGAGAGACACAGAAAGACAGAGGGAAAGTGAGAAAGCAAGCCACCAGGTCCAGAACTTGAACCACAGTCGGCTCTGTGCCGGTCCAGCGCCCTTAATCACCACGCTAACTGCCGGCCCCATGTACATTAATATTTTAAACATTAAATTCCAGAGAAGCATTACTGGAAGTCAAGCTACCAACAATAAGTTTCTCTTACTGTCCCACAAACACTGCAGAGTCTGCACCAAATACACCTTATACTCACGTTCCCGCTACCCTGCAAAGGAAGCTGGGCAGGGACAATTTTAGAGGGGGGAATGCCTGGTGGTCTCTTTACTGACTACGGGGCCCTCTCTAGAACCCCTACAGTAGTCAGCTGGGGTCTTACTGAGAAAATTCTTGTGATGCGCATCCTGGCTTCTTTCTTGGTCAGGCAGCTGAGGGCCGGGCAGTTCCATAGCAGGACAAGTTGTACCCCCTGTGGCTTTTTGCTCATTGGAACCCTTGGTGGCAGCTGGAGCCGTGGCCACCTACAAAGTGCTCTTGGAAACATCCTTGCCCATTTGTGTGCCGTCAACTTCCACCTGGAGCCGTGCAGGTTGAAGCCTTCTCTTGTCCAGTGACCCTTGAACTCGCTGATGACCTTGCATCCCACTTGGTGTAGACTAGAATGGGATTGTCATGGTCATTCCACAAACTTCACTTTTATGTTTCTTGAAAGATCCTTACATTATATGTTAGGGTTTTTTTTAAGAATTATTTTATTTAATGTTGTTTATATATATATATATATATATATATATATATATATTTATTTTAAGAGAGAGAGAGAGAGTGAGAGAGAGAGAATCAGCACTTTTTTAAGAGTTATTTTAATTTTATTTATTGATTTATTTCAATTCAACCTGAGAGAGACACAGAAAGACAGAGGGAAAGTGAGAAAGCAAGCCACCAGGTCCAGAACTTGAACCACAGTCGGCTCTGTGCCGGTCCAGCGCCCTTAATCACCACGCTAACTGCCGGCCCCATGTACATTAATATTTTAAACATTAAATTCCAGAGAAGCATTACTGGAAGTCAAGCTACCAACAATAAGTTTCTCTTACTGTCCCACAAACACTGCAGAGTCTGCACCAAATACACCTTATACTCACGTTCCCGCTACCCTGCAAAGGAAGCTGGGCAGGGACAATTTTAGAGGGGGGAATGCTGAGGCCTTCAGTGGTTAGGACAGGTGCCCAATGTCACCAGCCAGCCAAGAGAGGACTGGCCAGGGGAGGCCCGAGCCGTGTGTATCCAGGGCTCTTTCTAACACCATCATTTTTGCTCGAGAAGCGTCAATTTCCGGCTCTGCATTTGGCAGCTCTTTGAGTGCTAACGAAGGTCCAACCTCACTTCAGGGCACCAGTGCCCCACTTACACCTTTGATTGTTCCCGCCCCGACCCCCAGGTGAAAGCCAACCTCGAGAAGGCAAAACAGACCTTGGAGAACGAGCGAGGGGAGCTGGCCAACGAGGTGAAGGTCCTGCTTCAGGGCAAAGGGGACTCAGAGCACAAGCGGAAGAAGGTGGAGGCCCAGCTGCAGGAGCTGCAGGTCAAGTTCAACGAGGGCGAGCGTGTGCGCACGGAGCTGGCCGACAAGGTCACCAAGCTGCAGGTGAGACTTCCACTGAGACCCCCAGCTGGGCAGTGGGCCTCTGGAACGCCTTGGCCTCAGCCAGGCCTGCACGCCTAGGCTCCCTCTGTCTCTCTGGCTCCTTAGCCAGATCTCTATGTCTCAGTTTATGACTCAGGTCCAGCATTGCCTGCTGAGGAGGGACCCCGAGCAGGGATTGCCAGGTCTGTGACCTTTCTTGCCCTCCCTGTGCAGGTCGAGCTGGACAACGTGACCGGTCTCCTGAGCCAGTCTGACAGCAAGTCTAGCAAGCTCACCAAGGACTTCTCCACACTCGAGTCCCAGCTGCAGGACACCCAGGTAAGGGCTTCCAGCTTGAAGACCAGACTCTGCCCACGCAGCGTCAGCACCTGTCCAAGGAGGCTGTGGGTTCTCCCTTGGTTTTTACGTGGCTGTCCCGAGTCTGTCCCTCCTTTGAGAGGTGTGGGGGGCCCTGAGGCTCTAATGTGCATCTCCTAAGCACCCACAACCCCTTGTCCTTGGGAGTAGGAGCTGCTGCAGGAGGAGAACCGGCAGAAGCTGAGCCTGAGCACCAAGCTGAAGCAGATGGAGGACGAGAAGAACTCCTTCAAGGAGCAGCTGGAGGAGGAGGAGGAGGCCAAGCACAACCTGGAGAAGCAGATCGCCGCGCTCCACGCCCAGGTTGGGGGTTCAGAGCTGAGGCAGGATTCTGTGGGAGGGGGACACCGGCACACAGCCTGCCGCTTTGTGAACACCAGAGATTCGTGAACTTAGACGGGGGCATAGCACGTCTCAGTTTTCACCAGGCCCTAGCCACTGATCAGCCTCTGTCCCCATCATGAACCGAGGCCATGGGCCATGGTAGCTGCAGTACCTACCTGGGTCCTTGTCACGGAAGGAAATCACTGGTCATTGCATCTCAGCTGTGACTGGACTCCTCCCAGCTCCAGCGTCATCACCCCAGTCCTGCCTGGGGCTTACTGTCCGATGTGCTGAGCAGCCACGGGTTATAGTACCACTGTGTTGGCCATAATTAGTTGGCTTCGCAATCCTACATATTTATTTTATGCATTGAAAAAAAATGCCAGAGGGCGCATAATCTTGTTGGAGGGAGACATGGAAAAAGGAGAAAGCACCCCTCCGCAGTAGAGGGTAGTCTTGCCACAGTCCCTTCTTCATGTCTGTCTTCTTTTGGGAATTGGGGCACGCACACACACATTCCTGGCATGTTCCTCACGTCGCCAGATCTGGGGCTAGAACTGCAGTCAGTCATGTGGGAGGCAGCCACCTTAACGACCACACCACTGGCTGGCCCTATCTTACACATATTGAGACACTATAGTAAGAAGGAGTCCGTAGGCTTGTCTAAATTCTCAGAGGATCCACAGCCAAATATCCTAAGAGCCCATGTTCTATATCCTGTCTTGGGACTTCTGTGTGAGGGCAGAAGACCAGAATCGACTCAGATGGTTAAGAGTGTGCCCACGGTCTAGGGCCAGCCTGCTTGAGTGCTGAGGTTTACCTGCAGGTGCAAGGCCAGGGCTGGGTGTGGGGTCTGACCTTCCTTCTGCTTCCCATAGGAGGCACTGTGTATGCTCCCTGGGAGAGGTGAGGGAGGCCTCCCCTGTGGAATCCTCAGTCTTGGGGAAGCTTCCCATAGATGAGGAGGCAGAGTCCAGCCACAGCAGGCCTGTGGGGCCAGCCTCCCCCGA